TGGGGTTTGAGGCCAATTTCATTTTCTTCTTTATACTTTTTCTATATCAAAAAGGATCAAAATCAATGTGTTTAAATGTTGCAAACAAACTTTCACTGTGCTGGGGATAAAGTCCGCGATCCTGGACTCACACAGGGAGGTCCTGCGGCACCAGTGGTTACCCCATCTCCGGTCTCCTGACTCCTGGGTCTCAACTACAGCCGACCCGATCCACCTTCCTTACCCCCAGACTCCTTGCTCTCTCTCGCCTCTGGACCGCTGGCCATGCTGCTCCGTCTCCCTGGAACACTCTGCCCTCTCTGATCGCCCTGAAACTTTGCTTCCTCATCTGGGGGCCTGACGCCAGGTGCCTGCCCATCCACCCCACCCACCCCTGGGCAGTCTGGCCCTGCCCCGCTGCCTCCCAGAGCCCTGGCCTGACTTCCATCACGCCAAAGCACCTACTGTGCCCTAGTGGCCTTCCCACTGGTCCCTCCCTCACTACCTCACAACAGCCTTGACGGTAAGGACAGGGCCTGGTTCACCGATGGCACCCAGGGCCCAGCGCCGTGCGGGGCACATAGTAGGTTTCATAAGTGTCCGCTGACTGGACTGACACATGACTGCCTGACCAGAATGAGGAAGGCACAAGCCGCTGGCACCCCAGGCTCATTGCCATAGCAGGTCTGCTTATGGAGCGGGACTCCTGGGCCTGGCCCCAGACGGCAGGCCTGCCGAGGCAATCTGGAGGGGCAGACACAGCAACCTGGAGCAGGGCCGCCCGCTCAACTCCAAGGTGGCTTTTATTTCCTCTTCTGCGGGCGCCAAGTCCCTGAACAAATATTTTCCTGGAGTGGAGGAGCGGCTTAGCTCCCAGCCATAAGGGCTGGAAGCACCGCTGGGTCTGGTAGGTTCCAGGAGCCAGAGGAAGAGCAGGGTCTGGCTGCAGCTGGCGGAGGAGGGGTCATCAGAGCTGCCCTCTAGGCGGTGCCCACCCTCCCGGCTCCTCCGTTCAGCAGCAGCCCTGGAAGGCTTTTGCTCCAGGCCTCTCTGCTCATAAATTAGAATCCGCTGGGATCCTGAAGAAAACGTGAGCCATGTGGGCTTCCCTCCTTTTTGCTGAAAAAGCTACACTAGAGTTTAAAGAAACTAATTAGAATCTCAGAAGCACTTTTATAAGCTTCCCCCCCTCCCTTTAACTTTCTTGTTGCAGAATAAAATACACGGAGTACACTCATCTTAAGTGCATGACTTGATGATTTATTTACAGGTACGTACACCCTTGTAATCATCACCTGCATCAAACTGGAGAATATTCCAAAGAACTTTTCAGAGAAGGGTCCTTCATGTCCCCCTCTCATCAATTTTACACCCTCAGCAGAGGTACCACCAGCTTCTATCGCCCATTAGTTTTGCCTGCTCCTGAACTTGGAATGAATTCATGCAGTCTAGGCCCTTGAGTCTGGCTTAACAGATTTCTTGTGATGCCATCTACGTTGCATGTGTAGCAGCAGTTTGTTCTTTTTTATGGCTGAGTGGTATTCCATTGTAGGACCGTAGCACAGTATCTTTATCCAGTCTCCTGCTGATGGACATTTGGATTTTTCCCATGTTTGGGATGTGACGGACATTCTTACACATGCCTTTCAGCTGCCATGTGTTCGCCTTCCACTTGGATCATAGGGTAGGTGTATGTTTGGCTTTAGTTTCCCAAGTGCTCATATGATTGGCACATTTTCTAACAGCTCAGGAGCATTCCAGTAGCTCCACACGCCCTCAAACAATTGTCCATGTCTGAAGTCAGCCTTTCTGGCAGGTGTGCAGTCATGTCTTGCATCATTAATAGGCTTCTAACCACTGCTTGACTTTCAGAGCAAGACAGCAGAGCCAGGCGACCACAATGAGCATCCCAAAGACAGAGACTCCCATATCTGCTGTGGGCCCCCATCCCATGCCATGCCTCATGCTGGGCTCATAATAAAGTGTCCACCCTCAGGAAGCACCCAGGGTAGCAGGAAGCCAGTGTGGAAACAGACACCCGCAGTGATAGAGTGAGAGGTCCCAGGAGGAATGACTCAGAAAGTATGGGGGCACAGAGGATGCTGTGCCTTTCCTTAGAGGAGCTTTGACCTGGGCCTTAAATTTGAGCAGGCACTGAGGTAGCACTGCTGAGGGCCTGATGTGGGGGTACCCTCACACTCATACCCACACACCCCAAGTGGGTGCAAATCTCATGTGGCTCAAGGATCGGTTGGTATTGGGGTTGTAGGGGGGGGTGCAGCTATGTTAGGGAGGGGGAGGATGGGAGAAAGCCAGGCGAGGGCTGTGCCCACGGCCAGGAAGAGCTGGCAGGACCCCAAGCCCCTCTAGGCTCCCTGGCTGGGGGCCTCCTCCAGCTACTGCAGCTCCAGGAACCAGGAGCTTCCCTCCTCCTGAGGCAGCCCAGCCCACCTTTCCCCAGAGACAGGGGGTGGGGTGGGGCTGATGGGGAGAGAGGTTGGAGCACGGCCTCAGGAGCCCCTCTGTGCAGTAGTTCCCTGCAGCCCTGCTGAGAAGATGCTGTCTCTCCCAGATGCTGCTTTGGGGTCCACTGACCATCAGCGCCTAACCTGGGTGGGTGGGTGAAACCGCCTTCCTTGAGGCCCAGCTCTGGGACTGTATCTTCTGCTCCAGTTAGACCCTGCCCTTGACTGCCAGCTCTGAGAACAACCTTATCACAGGTGTCTTTTCCCTCGGGCTCCATGTGAAAAGGTACCAGAGGGAGAAAAAGGGGATGCCCAGTGAGGTGGGGACACGCCCCACAGGTCCTGCCAGTTTTACTCCTTAACGATGTCTCAAATCCAGCCTGTCCTCCCCACCCCAGCCTCCACTGTCCCTGGGCCTCCGTCCCCTCTCCCTCTGCAATTCCTAATCCTTCCTGCATCTGCTCTGAGGCTCTCCTCCAGCCCTCAGAGAGGTCACAAGGCAGTGACCGCTGCTTTCTTACCACATTGTAGCCTCCTCCCTTCTCACACCTGCTCTCACTACACATCCAGCATGAAGCCTCTTGAGTCCTTATTTTTGCTGAAGCTGTGCCTTCGGCCTGGAATGCCCTCTACCCCTTGTTGGAAAGGCTGATTTGAATCTGTCCTTCAAGACTCAATTCAATTACCACCTCTGGGCACCTCCCCCCTGACGCCAAGCGGGGTTAGTTGCCCTGAGCCCCCACCAGCCCCCATCGAGCTCTCTATCATTGAAATCTCTCTCTCAGTGTCCATCTCCTGTTGGACCCCAAACTCCCTGAGAACAGGGCTGCGCATCTTTGTTCTGGAAGTGATAACATAGTGCTCTCCAGAGAAAACTCAGGAGGCAAGCAAGGCAGAAAATGCAATTTCAGGCAGAAATCGGCTGCAAATTAAGGTGGACAATCAATGTGAGAGAAGATGGCTCATTAGTTTAGAAAATAACTTGAAAGAACTCAGTGGAAAATTCAGTGATTCCCCATCCCCATATATGTACAAATGTGCACACACACACCCACCCCCCAGGTCACATGGGTGTGACCTAAAGGTGAGGGGACTATGAAATAGTGCTCAATTGCTCCGTTCTCAGACATGGGGAGGCGGGAGTCTTGGGAAAGCAGAAAAGAGAGGAGGTGAAGGGGGTCAAGGTCGTGGGAAGCAGGGCAGCAAGCTGACATCTGAGGACAGATGGGCAGAGAAATTGCTTGAGGCCAGGATGCCAGAGGAACATGAAGATGATGTTTAAACCCCTTCACATTAGCTTCTTCACCGTGAGTCTCAAGCACTCAGGAAAGCCTATTTTATGGCACCACCTTGTCCAGCAGGGTCCTGGCGTGGGGGTGACCCAGGGCCAGCACAGAGCAGGAAGGAGAATCAACAGAGTGAGGAGAGAGTGGTGGACACAGCGCAGTTTGGCCCATTTGGGTACGACGAAAGCAGGCAGCCCAGGAGGCTGGGATCTTGGAAGCATGCAGCTCCCACGCTGGGGGGACGTCCTTCCCATCCTACTGTCAACTGGGGTCACCACTGTGGGCTCAGGGGCCAGGCTGCCAGCATCCAAATCCCAGCTCTAGTGGGTACGGTACTTCCCCTCCGTACAGCAGGTTTTGTCTGCAAACTGGGAACGGTTCACAGCAGGGTATCTCCTAGCCGGTTGAGAAGCTGTCTGTAGTGATGCTATGTCTAGCAGTGTCTGGCCCACAGTGAAAGTAGTAATATCCAGGGAGCCAGTTCTGCAACTGTGCCCTCACTGTCTAAGGACAGGCAAGAAATAGGCACTCGGTGTTTTTGGTGTTTGTTGAATGAATGAATCATCTGAGGGCTCTCTCAGCCTCTGAGCCTCTCAGGCACAATGTGCCAGGGAGAGTAGAACTCACTCTGCAAAGCTACCCCAAGCCTGCTGTCCCTGCCCCGCCAGCAGGTGCAGGGCCCCAGAAGCAATGGTTCCCCTGCTGCCCTGCGCTCCAAGGACACACCCAGGCTCTGGCGTCAGGGACTGGCCCGCACCCAGGGCCAGAGACCAGGTCAGCTGCCAAGGGCCCCAGGCGGGGAGACCTGTCCTGGAGGAACAGCTGAGGGGCTGTGTGGGAGTCAGCAGTCTGGGTGAGGGCGGCTTCATGCCCTTAGAGCACCGGGGCTCCTGCAGTGTGCCGAGTTCTTTCAAGCCCCCAAACTTTCACTGTAGTTTTGCCCTAACGTGCAGACAACTTTTTTTTAGACCTTTGGCACCTGAGACAGTTTGCTAATGAGTTTCCAGGAGCTGCAAGACACTGAGCAAACAGACTAGGTAGCAAACTTTGGGTCAGAAGGAGGAAAGGAATCATGTCCTTGAGGAAAGGAATAATCTAGAAGGAGAGGCTGGGCGGGAGAGAGTAAAGCAGAGAGCCTGAGAGGAGGCGAAATGAAGGCCTGACACAGGGCTGGGGGGAGGAGGGCAGAGGTGGACGTGGCTTCCCTTACAGGGAAGGGGACAAGGAAGGACATCACCAGGCCAAGACGATACTCAACCACCACCGCAGCCCAAAATGACAAGTACCGTTTATTAGTTACATGAATGGGCCCCGCCACAGGCTGGGCGCCGTCCCACAGACCAGCAGAGGTGAGCAGTCACAGACCCCATTCCCACCCCCGAGTTGTGTTCAGTCATACACTCTGCGCAGAAAGTCCCCGGATGGAACACGGGTTCCCTTCATTGGGTGGGGTGTCCCTCTGAGTCACAGACGGTCCCCTCTCAGAGGGGCCAACAGGGCGGCTGGAACATTGTCAAATTAAATAAGCAAGCACAGGAGTTCCCAGGAGCCAGGGCCGGGGGCCTCTGGTCCCAGCAAAGGTGTGAGAAGAGGGCCGTCCAAGGTGTCTGAGACGCAGGCCTTGGCTCCAGGCCTCTGTGGGGCCTGTGGCCTCAGGTCAGCTGGACTGGGGCCGACACAGCTTCGTTGTCATTTAGGAGACGGTCCTTCGAACTTGGCAACACAGAAATTTACATCAGGCCTTATATAACCTTGGCTGAACCTACCAAACTCCAGAAGAATTTTAGCAAAGACGAAAAAACAAGCCAACTAGAGGGACTCTGGCCCCAGACTCCGTCCCCACAGGAAAGAGGAAGGCATGGAGCTTTTAGCCAAGTTTCTCAATATCACTAGCACTGAGAGAAAAAGCTGGTCACAGCCACACGACCAGCACAGAAAGAAGCAAAGGCAGTGGAGTTCACGTGACTACTTTATATTAAAGTTTATTACATTTGGAAAAACTACTGTACAGGGAAAAACCCATTGGATTAAGTAGAGTTTTGCCAAAAGCAAAAGACTATCACTCTTTGGAACATTCCTGATTCCAGCCCAGGGCAGGGCCACAGGAGCTAATCGAAAGTGAACCTGGTCCTTCGTGGGGCAGCTCAGTGCAGGTGTGCCCAAGACCCCTCTCAGCACCTCCCAGGAAGAAGTGTCCCCCAGAGGGGACATCAAAGGAAGGGCTTGGTCTATGGGAGATTCTCGGGGCCCACCGCACCTTTCCCGCCCCCACGGTCCTCTCTCCTCGGTCCCCAGCCTGAGGCGCCAGGATTCCATTCTCACACAGGCCCCTCAGCATCACAGCTGCCCTGGCCACCGCCCTGGCCCCAAGTTCATGGACAAGGGCATGACTGCTCTAAGAGGGGACTGCCCATGGCAGCCGGAATCTACCAGCGCACCAACGGGGCCCCCCAGCAGACATTCCGTACCCTGTTGCACACATGAGCGACAAACTCAGAGACAACACACGAGCTAATGAGCCTATACGCTGGCTTCGGATTTGGTTCTCCTAGTACAAAAAAAAAAAAAAAAAAAAAAGAAAGAAGAAGAAGAAGAGGAAGGTCTTCTTAACCCTGATGCTATCTCCTGACGGTAGACGAGGGAAGCAGATGGGGGATGACCGAATCAACTTACTTAACTTACGTTGGAAGTAACAAAGTCTACTGGGCTATGAACAAAGAAACTAGAGGGAACATGTGCAAAAACAAGTTGACATCTAAGTTACACCTCCCCACAAAGCAAAGTGAATTCTGACAGAGCTCTGACCTCCTCTCCCCGCCACTCAAAGGGAAACGTCCCCAAGCCTGTTGGCCTCTACCAGTAAGTGCTACAGGTGTGTCAGCCCTCAGCCACAGCATCTTCCAGCCACGGTGAGCCATCCGGGTCCAGCACAGCAGGGTCTCCCTTCTCTGCAGGGCTGGGCCTGGGGAGAGGCTGCTCCGGTTTGGAGAAACTTGATCGGCGTGGTGGGATGCCCAGTGCTGGCTGCGGTGGAAAGGTCGATCGTACGTGAGAAAGCCCTTGTGCCCAAGTCTCCAGGCAGAAGTCAGAGAAGCAGAAGGGAGTCCCTGGGCACAGCCTGGACTCCGCGGGCAGGGAGCCACCGGCAGGGAGCACCAGGGAGGTGGCATGTGGCAGGGGAGGCAGGGTCTGCAGTTCTTCACAGAAGAGGCAAGTGGAGGCCTAGCGAGTGGCAGGGGGAGGGGAGAAGCACTCCCCGGTCAGGCGTAGAACTCCTCCTGCTTGCTGGGCTTCTGGTAGGCCCCGCCATTGGCTTGTTTTGGCTCCTCCAAGGAGTAGCTGCCCTCATCCTTCTTCTTCATCCGGTACAGCATGAAACCCACCAGGCACACGGTGAAGATGAGGCCCACGAGGCCTCCAGCAATGACCCCTGGGGCGGGCAGGGAGGACAGAGGCCAGCTCAGCTCGGCTGCTCCTTGCGCTCAGCAGCAGCCCCAGAGGTGGCCTTGGCTGTGGGCAGCCCCACCAGGGCTAAAGACAGCCCCCCATCCCCAGAGCAGCAGTTTGCCACCCCCCACCACCCACCAGAGAGAAAACTCACCCCCTAGCACTTCCTTCCTGTCCAAGAGGCCCTGTGAGGCCCCCGTGGCCCCAGGATCCACTGGAAGCTCATTCCGCTGGTCAGGTTCCTCCGCGGCCCTCGGGTTGTTCTCCTCGGATACATCAAAGGTGAAGTCCTGCGGCAGTGGGGGGATCAGGTTGGGGGCTGCATCCAGTTCCATCTCCAGCCTCCCTGTCACTGCCACCACCACTCAGACACTCCCAAACCCAGACCTCCTGGACCCCAAAGCCAGGTCCCTCTCGCCACATCACCCTGGACCCTGGCAGGGGTATCACACCGAGTGATACAAAGCACACTTTTTATATGAAAATAAATAGGTTCATTTTACTGTAAAGGGTAAAATGACCATGACCCTAAAGAGAAAACTCAGACCCGGCAGAGCTTTCAGTCACAGCCGAGGCCTAAGTTTAGGAAGCCCTCTCCTCAGTGATCGTGAAGGACTCTTGCTCTGGTCTCCTGTTGAGTCCGTCCTGCCCTAGGCTCAGCCCTGGGGGGTGGGGGGAGGCCCATGGTGGGAAACACGATGTGCTCACAAGCACAGGGGGTTGGGTGTGTCAGATGGCCAGGCCGGTGCCCCTCACCCCATGCACTGTGCTCTCCCAGGTACCGGGGGCCACCCTGCCCACTGCCATCCAATGTCCCAGGAAATGCATTAGACGACAGTGGGCTGACACACACCTGCTCCCCAGAGCCCTCTGCTACTGGGAGTTGGGTAGAAGCTTCGTCCTCAGGAGCCTTCTCAGTGGCAGGAGGGCCTCCACCCTCCACCCTGGGAGTTTGAGAGTCGAGCTGGCCATGACCTGTGGGAGCTGAGGTCTCGTGGTAGTCAGGCTGCATGTCCCTGTGGGGATGGGAGGTGGCAGGCCCCTGGGCCGTGGTGGCTCTGGCTGTTGATGCCCGGTGGGTGGTTGGGTGCAGCGTGGTCTCACCAGGGGGGTGGGTGGCCTCCTTCTCCTGGGCTGTAGAGTCAGGCACCACCTTTGCCACCAGCACTGCCTCTTCCTCGTCTCGCCGCTCTCCAGTCAGCAGGACAGAGGTGGAGGCGGCAAAGGTGTCCGGGCTGGTGGGCTCTGGAGCCACGGGCATGGCTGTCAGAAGCCCCATGTCCTTCCAGGTGGAGGGCATCTGTGGTGACAAGATGGTATCTGGCAGAGCACCTGCAGGGCCAGAAGCAGAGCTTGTGGGTGGGGAAGGCCCAGGAACACAAAGACCAGCCAAGCACAGGCCAAGGAAGGCGGGGTGAGAACACACGGCTGACTCCCAGGCCAGCACAGTGAACCCTTCCTTTAAGTGAGAAAGCTGTGTTTCCTGGGGAAGAACTAGCCGAAACTAAACTCAACTTCCTCTAGAAGTCGGACCGGGAAGCTGCCCTCTTCCGCTGCAGATGTGTAGGGACAGCCTGGTCTCTGGAGCCATGAGACACCAAGGCCATCCGGGAAGGAAACTTTCCTGTGATTGCTGAAGCCCGTTCCCTGGGTGGGGACATTCTCAGGGGCCTGAATGCCTTATCCCCAGTACACACATCTCTCTGGCCCCTCCCTGCTCCACCTGCCCTTTACCCAGAAAGGCCCAGGCTCCCCAAAACAGAGGCCTGGTTCTTACCTCCCAGCTCCCGGGGCTCTGCCTAGGCCACTTTCCCCGTGGACGACTGTAGCCCTCTTCTGAGGTCTAGTTCAAGAGCACCCCCTCTGGGAGGCCTCCCTGACCACCTCCAGCCCAAGGATTTTGCTCCCCCAGAGAAAGGGGAAACAAAGAAGAAAAAGGAACATTTATTGAAGATCTATACCCCACCAGGCTCTGTGCAGCCTAACAGCTCCCAACAACCTTATGAGGTCAAGACATTGCTCCCATTTTACAGATGAGGAAATAGAGGCTTGGAGAAGTCAAATAACCTGCAGTGTGGACCCCGTTCTCTTCCTAGCATCACCCTTCGGGCCCAGCCAGGAGGGCTGCCTGACTGCCACCCCCGCCCACGGTCTGCTGCCGTCTTGGGGTGGGGCCCTCATGCCTGCTCACCTGCGCCTGAGCCAGAAAAGTTGTCAGAGTCATCCCCAGAGCCATCCTGATCTTCGGGGGGCATATCTGTGGCCACGATTTGCTGGAAAATGATCAGAAAAGGATATGAGTGGAGCCTGGGCTGGGGCCCTGCTATCCTGGGGTCCTCGTCCTAGACAGCAGAGTAAATCAGCCCTGTCCCCAAACACACACACACACACACACACACAGCATAGAAAGGAAGTCTTCATGTGTGGCTCCAAGCCCCTCAGCTCTGGGCAGCCCTTTGGCCACCTCCAACCCCTAGTGCTATGATGACACAGTCCTACGCTAGGTGCTAGAGGTAGAGAAACACACAAAGGAGGGCAGGCCCTTGTCCCAAGAAGCTCAGTCTGGTGAGGGAGCCCCAGGCCTTTCAGAGGAGCAGAGAGACAACAGCATTACCGGGGACACAAGATGCAGCGCCCGTGGGAGCCCATCAGCCCACCCTACACTGAGATTCACGACCTGGGGGCCACTGGCCTGGGAGCTTCAGGGTCCAAGACAGGCTTCCAAGGGCCCCCAAGAACAATGTCATAACCACCTGGCTCCGGAGTGGCAGCCTCCAGGCATGCTGAGCACCAGGGTGTGGACAGCAAGGGCCCCACAGTGGGAGGGGCAGGGATGGGCATGGGGTGAGCTGTCTGTGCTGAGGCAGGTCTGCCCACGCAGAACACACCCCACTCCTAGCCTGCTTTCTCATCTGCAGGAAAAACAGGGTGCAGATCTACTTGGGGAAGGAAGGACAGGACATCCACCAGGCTGGGGACAGATGGGGGAATCTGGAAGGGGTCCTGTACTAGGGAGGCTCCTGCAAATGGGCTGTGAGCCTGGGGTGGACCCTGGTGCACACAGCCACCCCAGGAATGCTGCCGGCCTGGCCTGGCCTGAGACGCTGCAGGTGCCCTAGTGCACACGTCTACCAGGCCCTGAAGCAGGGGCCGCACCAGCAGGACCAGGGGTGGGGCCAGGCAGAGGCAGGACACACCACACACAGCTGAGCAGGCCTGCGCAGAACCCCGGGGCGGCAGGGGGACCACCTCCCCTCAACACTGGCTCCAGGACAGCAGGTGGGGAAGGGAGGACTCGGTGGTCAGGTGGCAGGAAGAGTAGCCATGAGTATTGTGTTCAACAATAGGGCTTTGACCCAAAAGACCCCATGCTGCAGTCCCATGTCAGGGGCCAGAACAAAAGATGAATTAAAAAACAGAACAGCATTGTTCAGAGCACATGGGGTTCGCAGACCCCGACCCTTGCTGCTTACTAGCTGAGCAGCCCTGGGGACATCGCTATCCCTCTTACAGCCTTAGTCTTCCCATCTGTAAAATGGAAGCAGTAGTAATATCTACGTTCCGGGATTGTTGCAAAAGTTCAATGAAGTTGTGCACAAAAAGAACCTAACAGAGCCTGGCACGCGGTAAGCACCCCACCAACAGTGATGTCTGCTCTAACTTGGGGAGCAAGAGCCGCTCAGTATGGAGAAGAGGGTTCTGGGCCTGTCTAGGAAGAGGTGGGACGGAGATGGGTAGGGTTTCAGCAGAGGAGGCGGTGGGAGGGAGCTAGTTCACGGGCGGCTCTGTGCAGACTTGTCAGAGGGCAGGCCACGCCCGAGGCTGGGCTCCAGGGAACAGGCCTCCCCAGCCCAAGAGACCTTGCCAAGTCCTGGCCACAGGCCACAGAGCCTCCCCCTTGAGTGGAGCAGACCAGGGAGGGACAGACAAGACCTTTGCCTGGAGCAGAGCTGCAGCAGGTGGAGGCTCCATCCAAGGGCCCAGGTCAGAGGGAAGCTTCAGACACGTGTAGAAACCGTGAGGCTAGAAATACCACTGAGCTTCCTATGAAAGTACAAAACCCAAACTTTACCTCCTCCTCTCTTCACTGCCCCCCGCCCCTCAAGAAAAATGTTTTGGCCCCAGCAGGGCCCATCCAAGCTGTCACGCTCCATCTACAATGCACACAGTCCCTGTTCTCGACCCACATCCCAGGCCACATCCTGTCCACACTGTCCTCAGGTGGTGCTTGAAATACCTGTCCTGCCTCCACAGAGCTTCAAAGCTGCCCCTCACCTCCTTGAAGCCTGTCCCCTCAGTTACAACGACTACTGCCCCCCAGGCAGGCACAAAGTGGGCACCCCCACCCCAACATACTCCCACCCCAGGCCCATGGCAGATGATCCCCACAGGGCACCTTTAGGGGGGCAACTATTGAGGGGACCTCCCTGCTTCACCCTCACCCAATGCCCTTGCAGCTCTGGAGGTGGCCCGAGGAGGTGATGCTCCAACTCCCACCCTTGGAGACAGAGCTGGACCTGGAGAAGGGGCCAGGGCTGCAGCCACACCAGCCTTGGCCGCACCGCACTGCGAAGCAGAAGACAGTCATCGGCGCCAGGCCCTATTTTATAGATGGGGGAACTGAGGCCTGTAGAGAACGCAGCACACAGGGAACCCCATCAACCTTGGAGACACCTCCCAAGATGCAGGCTCACACCAGGGAGGCCCAGCCTCTCACCTACACAGAGAAGCCCCAACAGGTTAGTAGTTTCTGAAGAGAAGGGCTTCTCTCAGGCCTAGATAAGTCCTTGGATCTGCCCAGTCCTTGAAAACAATTTGTTCCCTCAGCTTGGCTTGGCTTATCCCTCTGCAATCTTGTTTATACAACAAGTTCTTAAGCAAACACTTTCTCCCCTGAAACTGGCTCCCAAGCCTCAGGGCAGCCTCTCCCCTCTCAGGGCTGGGTCTCCACCGAGGGAATGGGCTGAAGTGACCTCCCAGATCTCCAGCCTGAACCTCCTGTAACAGCCTCAGCTCCCCAGCTGCTGAGGTTGAACTTGGATCACCAGGTGCCAGCCGACTCTGGAGTTTGGGGTGAGACTTCCGGTTTCACTTAGCAGGACCGCTGTGCTACGAGACTGCGGCCAGCTGCCTCCAAGGCCCCATGTGGGGCTCTCCTTGGCACGGCCTCTGACACTTGGCCACGGCTCAGGGATGCCGGGGACAGGGTGGCCCAGCTTGGAACCCACCTTAGGTAGTCTGAGAAGACACAGGCAAGCCAGTTGTACCTTTAGAGGGGCCCTTTCACCTCTAGAAGGCCCAGAAAAATCAGTTTTTCATACAACAAATCAAAAATCTTATAAGCAGGTCTAGACTCAGGCGGGTACGGGGGTCGTGGGGCAGACGCACAGAGGCTGGGGGACTGAGAGAATGCAAGGAACGGCCAGCCCATCTCATCTCAGCCATACTGGTCTCCGGACCACAGCCGGGGCTGCATCAGGAGGACCCCTGAGAGAGGATGATGGCTCAAGTCAGCACCTCCCACAGATAAGGGTGAGGGTCCTGCCCAAGGCCACCAGGCAGGGGCAGTAAGTGTCTGCAGAGTTGTAGGTAGTGCTTGCTCCCCTCACCTGCCATCTCTCTCCCTCTCCCCTGCCCTGAAGGACCACCTTCCCTGATGGCCCATCTGTTTTAACGGAAACATGCCTAAGTCTCCTCGAAGTGCTGCAGGCCCCAGGGGCCGCAGGAGAAGCGTGTCATCCATCATCACCAAGTAAGAATTCCTGACTCCTGCCTAGAGGCCGAGGCGACCAAGGTGCTGGCCCAGATGCAGAGGTGGAGAGGGAGTGGCATGGACAAGAAAGGGTCAGGGCTACCAGGGGCTGAGGGTCTTCATCATCGGGCTGTCAGACGTTCCCAAGAGCAGGCTGGGAGTCTGTGCGCAGAGGGCTGGCGGAGAAGCTCCATGAAGGTGGCCTCAAGCCCACTCTTCCAGCTCTCACTCAACCCTGGCCATGAGGAAGGTCATCTCCACCCGGTGGACCCCTTGCCCTGGCTGGCTGAGGGGGCCTGGGGCTATGCTGCTGCATCCCTCCAAACACCTTGGGCATGAAAGCTCCTTGGGAAGGAGGGTCACAAGGCAGGATCCAAGTGCCATCTCAGAGATGCTCAAGTGAGGGGTTTCTGACTCCAGGCTGACCAAAGACGTTGCCCATCTGGCCCCTGGCCCCCACCACTCCATCAACCCAAAGACCTGCAGTTTCCAAGCTGCACCCTGAGTCACTAACACATGTCACTCACTGCTTGATTCATGTGATGGATAAACACAAATCCTTTAAAACACATTACTGAGGTCATGTGCCAACAGTACAATATCATGCAAGGAGGTCACAGACTTTGATATTAAAGAGGGTCTTCAACTTCAAAACTCAGGGGACCATCATTCCAGGGGTTTTGGGGAGAAGAGGGTAAGAAATAGTCTGTCTTGGCCCTGGTGAGCTCCCAGGGCACACATCCAGGCACCCCACTCCAGGAGGCTTCTGGAAGGGGGAACTGTGCAGGCTAGGGTACAGGGGGTCACCCTACAGAGGACACTAGGGCTGGGCAGTGAAGCTGTCAGCCAGACCCCGGAGAGGTGAGGACAACACTCAGTCCTGAGTCCCAGCTCTGGCAGCACTGGGGCCCCAGTGGAATGGCAGCCTTGGCAGCAAAGTGGGAAAGGGAGGTTTGGGGATCTGTTGGTCACAGTGCCTCAGTGTGGCAACAGAAGCCCTGGCCGCTGTGGTGGGAGCTGGTCACTGAACCCACAAGGCCCCCTATTGCTCAGGAAGCCAAGGCTGAAGAGCTGATCCTTGTCACAGGGCCTGGGTCTCAGCCTTTCCCAACCAGCCAGCCTTGGTGCTACTGCTGGGGCTGCTGACTGGGTAGGGGGACCCCAGCTTGTCCCAGGAGCCCAGACTGAGGAGTCCAAAAGCAAGCAGACCCTACAATCACTCCAGGATAAACACCCCTCATTCCTAGCCCATCAAAATCACACACAACAGCAGGAATCCTGGGGACGCTTCAATGAGATTCACAGTTTTTCAAAATCTTTTTTTACCTTCCTCAGTTTCTTGGTCAGATCTATGAATCCAAGGGAAAAGAGCTGATTCCCCTGCCCCCAGACTTCACAGCTCTCAGGGGCTGAGGTGTCTGAGCTACAGAACCCCAGCCTTCACCCCCCGACCTGTGTGTCAGGATGCCAAAACAGCCGGAGTGACATCCATACCATCACCTGCACCCAGGCTGGGGGCTG